TGGGCGATGGCGGCACTCGGATGTGCTGTGGTATACGGATGTGCCCGAAGTCCACGTTAAACTCCTCGCACCAGACGCCCAGCCAGTCGTAGTCATAGATGGTTTTGTCGTCCGGCAGTGATATGACTACCGTTTCGCCGGAGTATCGCCGCAACGGCGCCGGCGATCCGTTCTCGTCCTTTAGCCGTAAACCTACGGTTGTGTCAGAAATGTATTAGTTTTAAAATGATCACGTAAATTAGTTTATGTTTTAATAGTGTCATTAAGGTCGATTGGTCGCACTGTTTGTATAAATATTATTAATAATTTAAAAGTTTTACATCCAGTAAAATAAATGTTATTTTAAAACACAATGAAAATAAAGCTATAAACTATAAACCATGTAAAATATATATTGATAACTTGTAAACACATAAAATGTTTTAATTAATAATTTACAGTTTATTATAGAAATAATTTTTGAAGCAGTATGTACAGTATATTCAGTGTATATTAAAACGTGTAATATCCTATTTAATTAATGGATATTTATCATAGGTATTTAGTAAGAATAATTTTTTTAAACTAGAGTAGTTTGTGGTTATTTTAATTACAAAAGTTGACTAATTTATGATTTCACAGTAAAACTACAAATTATTTATAAATAAAGTGTTTAAAAAATTGATAAAATTCATTTAAATTTAGTTGTGATCAACTAATAGTTTTTCCACTTTATCTCAAATTCAAACTATCTAATATTACAACTAATTTATAACGAAATTTAATACTAACCAGTTGGTGCCTGTCTCGGGCCTTTGGTGGCCCACCAATAACCAGCGGGGCCCTGACCATCGTAATAGAAATTGGGCACTAGAAATGTCTGGGCGTCCACTATAGTGATGGGACCGCTACGGACGTCGTGGGCCAGTCGGCTGAGCGCTGGTATCTCCACCGGCGACGGTATGTCTAGATTTTTGTCGATAGCTATGTCGCCGAAGTTAACCTTAAACTCCCGGCACCAGACAGATAGCCAGTTAATGTCGCGCAATGTTTTACCCTCAGGTAATCGTAATACGATGTTTTGATTTTGATAGGCGTTTAGCGATTTTGTGCTATAATTATTTAAACGTGATTAATTAATTTGTGGATTTAGCTATGGAAATTGCAGTATTTATTATATTAATTAAACTAAACTCAAATAAAATAAAATTATCAATTAAATGTATTAATTAAAAATATACAAAACGTAGTATTTATCTACATAAACTGTAAAGTTAAGCAATAATTTTTTAAATGTACATATTGTAGAAGTTATTTAAATAAAATATGGCAGACATTTGCTGATGACTTTATCACAGTTAATTTTTGAATTATTATAAATAAATTATGAATTTCATTATATGAAAGTACAGTATTAGCTATAGTTTAGATATATTAACAAAACTTTACTTACGATCCCTTTTCATCGGGTATAATAAACCCGCTGTCATCGGGTGTCGGGCTATTTCCGGCCCAGAAAAAAGTCTGAGGCCCCTGGCCATCGTAGTTGAAGTTTTTGATAAACAAGGTACTCTCGTCTACCGCGTACACTTCCCCGTTGACTTCGTGGGAATATTTGGCCAATTTTCCAATTAATGTACCGAAATAAACGTCCTTCATCCGTGATGTGCCCGGCAATTGGCTGATCACACCTGTTTATTAGTAACATGGTTGGAATATTTGTTTATTAATAATTAAATTTTTCAATTGCTAAAAATTTCTAATCAATAAATTAATTTTGAAATATTTTACTCTATAATTTTACAAGTAATTTAACTGTAATTGATCTAGGTCAATAACACAAAAATTATTTATATCCAGAAATAAATAAATGTATTTACGTTTTTTAATACTCAAAATATTAAAGAAAAATCATATATTCAAAATCATTTGTTATTATGAGAAAGTCTGTCTTGGTAAAAAATAATGATTAATTACATTTTGATAGTTTATTGAACTACTTCAATTATTGTTATTGAAAATAAAAAGCAAAATGTCATTTAAACAGCACCAAATCAATCAGGATTAGTCTACCGTAAAATTGTAACCATGTTTTTTATATGTATTCATTGTATACGTGTTTATTGTTTGTAAAAAACAGCACAAATTCAATGCAAAAAATAACTAATTTATGTGATATTAATCTCAAATTAATTTAGACATTGAATTGTAAATAATGTCACTTACAGTCAAACCCTATTAATGTAATCAATGTCGACAACAAACAATTCAAACATTAATAAATAATCTATTAAGATGATTCAATTGAAAACAATGTAATCATCGTGAGACTTCCTACATAATACTGTACAATAATTTACATTAATGTGATTTGTCTATAATAAAAAAAACAAACATGTTAGTTATTTTTGCAAAATAAAAAATGCAGTTGACATTCACCCAAATCTATTTAGCTCACTATATAAAAACACACAAACCATACAAATATAGTGGACCCTATTTTTTACATACAAAGTTTGTATTACCAACACATTATGTGATGGTTAAATAATTAAACATAATATTTATCTATATGAGATATGGTTGGAGTTTTTAATTAAAAAATACAAACATTGTATTTTTCAATTGAATTAATAAACAGAGCGTAAACGGACCTTGTTATGCCCAGGCCATTAATTTATAATGAAATTGCAATAATGTTATTTAACATACTGTTATATAAAAAACAATGTATTATGCTGATTAAAATGCTGTTTTATATTGCAGTGTAATTACTTTTAAATTTAACAAATATTTGTCTTTCTATTGTCATGATTGTTGTGTATTTGTGCCTTTAAATTCCCATGAGTTTTAATTAACCAAAAAAAACATCATTATACATTACTCCCCTCATTCTCTATGTTAAGACATACATATGACATGTAGGCATCACTACATCTCTATACAGATTAATCTAAATTCAATGTTATTCTATGCATACAAACTGTAACAGAAAACATATTTATTTTATTTGGTAATTTTAAAGTATTAAACATTTTAAATGTTGGTGAACCACAGAAGAGATATATTTTCTAAAGTTTGTTCAGCATACAAATATTTTATGTATTAATTATATTAATATATAAACAACTTATAATTTTATATACTGTAGGTAATTTTTATAAATTTTAATTCATTCTATCTAACACTTGTTATTTAATTAAAATTATTAAAAGTAAAAATAATTTATAATACTTATCTTAATATATTAGCCATAATTTTTAAAATTTTAAAAATCTTGCTAGCAGTAATAGAAATATATTTTTTCACAAAAATTAACAAACAATTAGTTTTTCCAAATAAACAAAACAAAATCCAATTAAACATTGCATTCAATTCTAAGTAGTAAAACAAATGGACAATAATTTCAAACACAAACCTAAACAAAAACGTGTCAGGTAATTGTTTGTCATAATATAATGGTAGTGCTATTTAGTGTTATTGTTAAATTAGTGACAATAATGTTGTGACGGGTCTAAATGAAATGGGAAGGTCAGCTCTACCCCATCCCCTGTCATCCCATTCAAAACAATGTGGATTTTATTTATAAAATCTATGATTGCGTGTATAGAGTGTATTTAATATGAAATTTATTTTTAATTTATACACATGTTTAACCTTATAGTATTTAACAATAAATGGTAACTTATATGTATAATTTGCCATACTTGTTTATCAATATCTTCACTATGATTTATATAATTTATATTACTAATTTACAGTAATTACCAGTATTATTTTACTCTATTATACAGTAATTTAAATACAGTATACAACATAATTATAATGTTAATTCTATAAACGTATTTGGTTTAAGCTCTAAATTTTATTATGCGATATTTTTATATGAATATCCCATAAAAAGTTTTTAAGTGCCTGAGGCACAAACAAATAGAGATTCAGAATGAACATGATTCAAATATGATTGGCATATTTGAAAAATCAACCCAGCTCATTTGTTGACCTTCTAATTTACAAACCAAGCAGTTTTCCAGTAAATAAAATCCATTGCATTGAGTATAGCATTATATTGTATGAAAGAATAGGCGATTATTATTAAAAATATTTAATGTGTGTTTCGCTTAGACAGTCAAACTTCTGTGCTGTCAACATCTCTGTTATCAACAAAATCCCAAATACACATAACATAGACATACGTTTAAAATAATCTCTATGCTGTCAACTTCTATGTTGTCAACTAATCTATCATATCAACATATTTTGATTAGAATTTTTAGCATTTCTATGTATAACAACTTCTGTCCTGTCAACTCATACACAAACCGTTTTGTTGATAACATAGATGTTTAACTGTAAGTGAATTTTGCATGTCACCAAAACTACCGCACTTATATCCGGATATAAGTGCACCCCTTGTGTAAAAATCACACATGAGTGCACCAATATTTATTTGTCAAAATTATTTTCAAAAGAAAT